GGATACAATAATAATAATAACTTCCTCGCTTATTTGCTTACAACGCTTACACATGCGCTTGTTCATGAAGCATCTATGATCAAATATGAATGCACTGAGAATATCAAAATAGTTTCAGCGATATTTAGGATGCAACAAAAGGCATAAATTCAAAAGCCCAGTTCCAATGGTTAATTTGACCAAAGCAAAAAGGAAATATTTGCAGTATTGAAAGAGCTCATTTTACTATTTTTCGGATAATGACTAACGGTGGAATCCATCATATGATGTGTGGATGAATTCTACTTGTTCAAATACTTCAATACTAACTATCATGTATTCACTCTGCTTGTTCCATTACTGTGCTAAGAGTTATTAGATCTCCCCTGGGTTGAAATGATTTTGAAGCATATTATATATTTGCATTTACGTTTGCACAAACTTATGTAGTCTTTTTGGGCTATTAATAGTTATGGAATAAAAAATGAGCTCTTTGATTCCAGTAAATATCTTCGCTTTTGTGGAGTAATGTTAAAGGCTCCAGCAGAACTCTGTCTCTCTCTGATAAGTAAATTCATTCAAAATGTTAGAAAGAGCATAAAAATCTAGCTTCATAACTGCTATTGGTCAATAAACAAAGGTGAATGAGCTTTTTTAGAGTTTCCACATATGAATTTATGGCGAACCATACGAGTACCCTAGTTTTTTCTTTGACTGACTTTCAGTTATTCTCTTATTACAGACTAAACCAACTCCATACAGTTTTCATCAGTATGCATCATTATGATTTTTTGAATTTTGTCAATATTTAATTGTTTTTAATTCAGTTTTAACTTTCCCGTTAATTGGTTGGACTGACATGTTTAGCTTATATCGACAGTGTCAGCTCCTGGTATAGACGTTTCGACAGTGTCTGAAGATTAACTTGAATTAATTAAGTGGATGGTGACGACTAATGCATCCTGGATCCCAGTGTAGTCACCATCCAGCGAATTACTTTTAGTAATCCTTATTTATTCACACCGTTAACACCTTTTAATTAATGCCTTACATTACTGAGTGTATTCTAAGGTATTCCTTAGTTATCGTGTGAATAGTTCCAAATATGTTGCAGAGAATGAGAGCAGCCCCCCATGGAATGAGTTATCTGAATAGGAATTGCAGATTACTAAATATACCCTAAAGAATCACATCTTTCTAGAAAGATATCATTCTTGAATCTCACACTTTCCTCAAAATAGTTAAGTAGAGTAAACCAGATATTATTGCTATTGGATTTATGAACCGACTGAATTATTCCCAAAGGTGATATCTTTTAAAGTAAATTATTTAATGAAAGTTGATGGAATCATGATTGATAGAAGCCATTGAATTTATTATCCGATTAACCGAACTCGTCATACTTTCAGTGTGTGCACATTCTATATTTCCAGTCACTGCTTTTTCAGATAACTGTCATACTTTACTTGCTTCAGTTAATCGTTTCCCGAATTTTGTGTTGAGTTCATAAAAACTTTAGTGAAGTTAAATGAAAGTCTGACTCTTCGTGAAACCTATGAAATAAACTTTATCAACTTACTGACTTTTCCATTCAGCAGCTTTTTTTATTTTCTCGATTCTTTTTTCGTGTCTAACAGCAGAAAAAGTTCATAAGAATTGACTTATGCGGAAAAAACCCCAGCATAAATGGAATACCAGTGTTAAGTTGTAAGTAAAATAGAAAAAAAACACAATGTTTCTCTCTGATGCATACTTAACTGTGGAAATTAAAATATCGATTGTACCAAAAGTGAGAAAATATCAAGAGCAGTTCCAGTTATATTTATTATTATTCCCTTGGATTCTCCATGGAATACAGGGCTTCAGTATTCATTTCACTGTATTCTCTGAAGTCTTTGTTTCAGCTAACTCTAAGACTTCCCGCAAGCTTTCGGTTCCTCATCAAATGATTTCCCCAACGTCACCTTGGAACCCTCTTCTGACTCATAGTTTACCATTCGTGTTTTAAACTCAAGGGATGGCCTGCCATGTGATGTTATTCAATAGTCTCTTCAGTATGAACTCACTTCATTCGCCTTTCATTCTGCATATATTTTAGGCAATAGTCCTCTCTTGGGTTGGTTAGTTGTCTATCAGAGTACCCTGTTGCTTATTCTTTCAGGCTATCTGACATTCAGTCCTGCCATTCCTATCCTGCTTTCTACATTCTAATGCGTCCCACCTGTAATTGAAATGGTGCTACCTAGGTAAGGGAAAGAATAAACTTCTTACAATTTCCGCCTTTGATAATGATTGGTGCCTGTTGACGTCTTCTTAGTGTCCATCTTAAGTCCTGTTTTCGCTGATGCTTCTGTCAACGTGTTAATGTTTGCGTCCATGTCTTTGAGTTTGTGTGGGTGACATTAGACATAAATCATCCACAAAGTCCCTATCGTCGACTCAACGTGTATACCCATCATCCTCTTACCAAACACGGTCTCCCGCATGTTCCAGTTAGTCCACCACAATCAGAAATATCATCGGTGATGGTAGACACCAGACTTATCTCACTCCTGACTTCACTCCATCGGCTTCGAAGAGCTTTCCCTTACCAATTACTTGACATTTTGCATCACCATATGGCCAGCTGTTGAATGACGTTGATAAAGATTTGTGGTACTGCTTTCCATAGTGTTGATGTAGTTCCGAATTGGTTTTACGGGTTATGCTATGCAAAGCCTTTTCAAAGTCGATTGAGTTGGGTTGAAGTGTTGACTGCTACCCCATACTGTGTTTGATAATCATGATGATTATGATGATGACGGTGTGTAGCATTGAAATTAGATTCATACATGATTTGCCTTAGCTGAATACAGCTTTTTCGGGATGGAGTTTCATATTCAATGCATCTCTTAGTCTCTTCAGAATAATACAGTTGTATAGTTTTCTTGGAGTGGACTAGAGCATGATTCCGCACCACTTCATGAAGAGACTTGAGTCAGCCCTTTTGGAAGTTTGAAAAGATCTTCCTTCTTCCAATCAGTAGGTACTTTCCTTTCTTTCCAAACCTGATGTAATAGTAGCGTGTACATCTCTTTTGCAATAACTGATTCCATTTTCAATGATTCTGGGGGTTGAGGGATTTAGCATAAACCATCAGCTTTTATCTTATCTAATAAAATTTCAACCATGCAAGTTATACTTTCATGTAGTTTCTCAATTAAAATCATTGGGTATCGAGCTTATCTCATATTATGTTACATAGTTATCATCTTACCAAAAGCCTTTACAAATAAACATAGCAGAAATATTGATTTTACTTGCACCATTTTATGTTCTCCATTAGGCTGTCATGTGTGCAAACTAACCGTATCATATAAAAGGGAGACTGATCCCAAAATTATGATCTATTCAGTAAATAGATTTTATACAACTCAGAGATGAATATAATGTAAACTACATCTGCGTTTATATTGTAATTCCTTACATTTTCGAGCGAGACTACACAAATAAGTATTATTTTGATGTCAAAGTATTAACCACTAATCATGTTATTAGTCAAACTGATTTGATATAAGTATAAAACTTGTGGTAAAGTGTTACTCCATTATACATAAGATTTTATTTTCATAATTCACAGTGTTACACAGTAATATTAACTGATAACGTATCGAGCACAAATTATTGCTCATAATCATATCAGGTTACTCACACAACTTTTTTCCTGCATTTATATACATGTGTGGAATTGACCAGATATTTGAATAAAAATCAACATGAGATAATGTACATTCAGAAATAATAATACGAGTGTTATTGATCAATTACAATCAGATGGGAAATACGACGAGTGTTTCTTTTTAGTCATAATAAGTAACTTGTTAGAATGTTGTGATGTATTTGAATTGAAATAGAATTTCAAGATTGTTTATTATCCTCCTCTGATTTGACTGGCGGTAATAATATCTTCCATATTTCTGGTATTTGCATTGAGTCATTTCTGTTGCATGTGTTGGGTGTAGACTCAATGAACCAGGATCCAGTAACCAATCTCTCTCTCCACCTACATAGATTACTTCTTAGAACCTTAACTCTCTCCCACCCTATTGTGTGGTTGTTTGTTATTTCGTGAAGTGCAATAGCTGAGCTTTTATCTAAATTACTCATCTTTTCAGGGTCAACCATTCTTGCCTTAGCTAAATTCTTATGTTCCGTCAATCTCACTACTCCTGATCTACTAGTTTGACCTATATAGTTGACCTCACAGTCATTGCAGCGTATTTTGTAAATTATATAATTTTGTTTAATTGGGTCCACCGGAATTTTTGGCCTGATTTGCAGACAAATCTACAAACACTGATTATATATTGGATGGTGACTAGCAGTAGAATCACGGATGCTCATTTCATTTTATTTGGGACTCACCAGTTAGATGTACCTGCAATCCTCAGCGAGTGATGGTGATTTTCTCGCTCTCAGTGGAGCCAAGTACACATCATGCCAAGCGCCAAACATTATCACACAGTGAGGATTGCAAGTACATCTAGTCGGCAAGTTGCAAATGGGATGAAATAAGCATTGTGGATTGCACTGCTATTCACAGTCCATCAAGTAGCATCATGTTAATCATCAGACATCATCGAAACCTCCACGCTGGAAGCCGACATGTCAACACAGAGACAGAACGTTTCGATTCAATATATAATCAACCAACAAGAAGTAGAAAATTAGGTCAATCCTATTGTTTATGCTTGTTCTTCTTCATGTTTTATTCTATTCAGTAAAATTTATGCGTCCTTTCCCTGTAATGTGAGAAATGTAGGCTGAAGTTTCCCAACCACTGATTTCCTCTTTATATGTATACACTGGTATATATATATATGTTCCAGTAATACATTTACTAATTTTAACATCGAAACTTATCCACACTACCATAATTGACAGAGGATTACTGAAGACTGAATTGAATTTTCTTCCTCATTGATATGAACACTTAAAAAGCTTACTGTAGGCGGTGGTAGTCTATGGTACACTGATTGTGTTACAGACATATCGCTTATATTTGATTGGTCAGTTTTGAAATGGGAAAACATTCTAAAGTGTGCATTTATTTATTCCTTAAAATGTGAAGAACAAATTTCTATTCATTATGAAATAATACAAAAGAGTAAAAAGCAACACCAAAGTATATATTTGATTCTTTTAATAAATGGGTGAACAAATGAGTGAGTGAGTGAATGAATAAATGAACAAGGAACTAACCAACAAATGTCCTATATTTTTAAAAAATATTTCTAGTTTACTTCTTTTTATTTTAATGAAGTGAGAATAAAGGCAACCAATTGAAGGTGGTGCATTTTGGTCTTACCAACATATTACCATTAAAACTAATAAATAACTAGACATTTTGTTTATCAACACAATATACAGTCAATGTAAAGGGAAAATACATTCTCTACACACTTCTATACACTTTCGTATGTATTTAGAATGCGTGCCAATGCATGGACAAATGGGTATTCATCGTATGACCAGATACTAGATGTAAATTTTCCACATTTATACAACTCATTGCTCTCAAATCATCAATACATTTGTGCATATGTCCACTCACATGCATGCTATTCATCAGTTGAAGTCAAACATTCTAACAGTTTATGTACATTTTTATTATTCATCTAAGAAATTAGCATTTAAAACAATCAAACAATTGGTCATTGTACACTGATAATCACTAATTAACAGAAAAAAATTGACAGTCTGAAATGAATTTATACTTTTGCGTTTTGTATATTACCAATGTCTTTCAGTTTCTATTGATAGTACATTTAAAAAATACAAATACACAGTATACTGTGGAATATTTTATCACTGAAGAATGTCCACCAAATACATTAGTGGGAAATTTAAATAATATTCCTTACAATACAGTCATACAGTCACATTCATTTAGTACGTTCCAATTGTTATCACACAGTGGATACTTTTATTTAAATGAATCTAATGGATTATTATATACACGTGGTCGTATTGATCGTGAGACAATATGCCCTGCTGGCACAAATAGTGCAAATATGGTTGGCGGTAGTCTTTATCCCCATTTATCGAATACTAATCGATTAAAAGAAATTGATCAACTTATGGTAAGTGAAGTAAATCATCTGAACACCTTGGGACATATTACCAAATCGAGTTGTGAAATTTTATTACAAGCATTACAGTTTATAAATAATCCTAATTCACGTGATAACGATGACCAAGAGCATCGTGTCATTTTGATAAAAATATTTATTCTAGATATAAATGATAATGCCCCTTCATGGCAGGAGAACGTTATTCAAATCAGTGTACCAGAACATACACCAATTGGGACAAGAATACCACTTCCAACAGCTAATGATCCAGACTGTGGACCTATTAATACAACTGTAAGCTATTCATTACTTGATCAGAGTACAAAGATTCAGTCTTCCGATATAAATTCAGACAATACCTATTTAGCCCGCAATGCCTTTCATTTAGACTCAGAACTAATATCCACTCCCGATTTTAATTTAAACAGTGCTTGGAATTATCAAGCTATAAATTGTAATCCACGTGTATTTCGCCTATGGCTTCGGATTATGCAGGATTTAGATTTTGATGATGACGATATTACTGATAAGTCTGATGTTTTAAGTTCCACAAAAATCTTTCCTTCAGAAAGTGTTAAAGTCAAGCTAATGAGATTAACTTTGTTAGCTACTGATGGTGGTCAGCCAATCAGTTTGACAGGTACTGTAACCATCAATATTACAGTCACTGATATCAATGATCATCCACCTGAATTTGTTGCAACAGACCAGTATCAACCAAAAGTTGCTACTGGATCCCCTACAGTTCACCTGCCTACGGTTCACTTAGAAAATGGAGAATTATTTATACAACTTCCTGAAAATACTCCAGCCGGACGAGTAATCTATAGAGTGCAAGCAGTTGACCATGACGAATCAGATAAAGAAAAGCTCAGGTATACATTGGGAACATCAGCTGGTTTAGATGTTAGAGAAACATTTAGAATAGATCCAAAATCAGGTGAAGTCACCCTTTTAAGGGCACCAGATTACGAAGCTCATCGTTTACATATTTTACCCATAACTGTAACAGATGGAAAACATATTATAACACAGAAACTGAATGTACGTATTCAAAATGTTAATGATCACCCTCCTGTGATTTCTGTGCGCCCAGTAATCAAACAAAAGTCTCCCATCATTCATTCGGGTCAGTCATTTCGCCCTAATATTCCAGATTATATGCATGGTCGAACAGTTGTTTTATATGTTACAGAGCATGAGCCACCAGGTCAGCTGATAGCGACTGTGACAGTGACAGATTCTGATGAAATTGTGGATCCTACTCTTACTAAATCAGACATGTTAGTTGAAAGCAGTACGCAAACATTAAACTATCAGTATCAAACTATTGATTCGGAAACGCATTTGAGCACAAATTGTCAACTGAATCATAATGGTTTAATACTAGAACCATTATTTAAAGGCGCTAAAAACCAGTTTAAACTGTTAACCTATGGTACTTTTGATAGGGAACAACAGACTGATCATTTTGCCACATTAACATGCTATGATTACGGTCAGCCACCGTTATCTTCACAGGTTGGATTGCGTCTTATCATTGAAGATATTAATGACCATGGTCCTCAATTTAAACAGAATAAAATGATTGCTCATATGAAAGAAAATAGTCCGTCAGGAACAAAAGTTTATAAAATCGATGCACACGATCCTGATATTGGTCCTAATGCTCTTTTAGGCTATCGGTTAGACGGTGAGCATATAGAAGACTTTATGGTTGATTCAAAGACTGGTACAGTGACTAGTTTGAGACCATTTGACAGAGAACAGATAGATCATTTCAATATTTCAGTTACTGTGTATGATCAGTCGGAATGGATTACATCAAATGGTTATAATAATATGACGAATTTATCAACAGCGATTGATTTGTTTAGTCGTAAAGCACCAAAACAGCATATTGTTCACGGGAATCTGTATGTTTATATTGATGATGTGAATGATTGTCCGCCAACATTTGAGAATTCATTATACCAGTTAAGCGTATCGGAAGATGCTAAAATTAACCATTTAGTTGGTCAAATTGAAGCCAATGATAGCGACGCAACTGAAATCAACAATCAAGTGAGTTCTTGATTCTTAAATGATCATCAGAACCATATTATTATTAGAGTTAGTTTTCTTGTTAACTATTTTTGTTGTGTTTAAATTAACTGAAGTAGTCATCAGTCAGTTAATTTGATTTTCGCTGCATTTTAATTTAGTCTGAAGTACTTACAGATGAATAGTTAGTGCCATGAGAGATGGCAGGGAAATATTTATGTATATATTTAATACCACAAAAGCATCTCAGTATAGATACAGTTGTGGTAAAATGAATATCTGCCTATTTATGTTTGCACTATTACCATTCGCTTGAGTTCCGAGTGGACTTCAACAACACATCACCATTTCATCTTATTCTCTGAAGTCCCTTTTATCTGTCTCCACAGCCACCCATAAGCTTACGTCTCTTTCTTACACGATCTTCTGCAAGTCAACTTCTAACACCTAACTCGTCGTTTCCTACTCGGGTCCCACTCGAGAGCTTGTCGTGTAACATCAATTAACGATCTCCTCAGTGTGTGTCCAGTTCACCTTGTCCATATTTGTTGAACGATGGATTGTTGACTGATCCGTTGCCAGAGTTCCTTATTGCTAATCCTTCATGACCCGCAGTCTCATCTCGACTATCGACACACTGAAGACATCTGTCAATGAGAGTATGCACCACGCTGTTGAAAATGCTTTTCATTACGTTTGCACTAAGTCCTTGAGCCATAGATAAGCAATGACTGACTTGATACTAGTAGAGAAATTTCGAATTTTGTTCCTTATGCTGTGTACGGAAGTTTTCTACACTGACTTCAGATTAATGATGGTTTTATTTGATTTTTCGATCTCACCTTTGACATTTCCACCCGTAATTCCCGTGGTTGTAGGTTGGTGATAGTGGTGAATTCATTTATACTTCTCCCTCTTTTTCTGATCTTAGGACCAGTTAGTAAACTAGGCGAGGTTTATTTCTTTATGTTTAAGTAAAACTGGCAAATATCCCAATACAATAAGTTGAGGTTGCTTAACATCGAAGTGGGACTCCATATTTCTTGTTACTTGTCATATATGAGACACTAAACTGCTGATTTTCAGTAACATCAACACTTCTAATGGTGGAAAGTGAGAGCTTCTGTATTTCAAAAAAAATGATGAATGAAATTTAGAGAAGCTTCGAAGGTCAAAAAGTTATTAAAGACCACTTAGCTTTATTTATGGTGCGCTATCCCACTGGGTTTGCAAGAAAAGTAGTGTTTGAGCTGACTCAGTACCTAATTTAGGGTTACTGGTTAATATCAGATAAACAGGTGACATGAATGCAAACACCTTTTCAATTGCTTTAAATTGGAAAAGAAATTAAAATTGTCTCACTCTCTTTCAAAATGAATCCACTAAAAAGAGGAAATTTTTAGAGACTGCCAGCATGTGGGCTGCAGGTGTCATTATACGATTACCCATATAAGTGGACTACCTTGCTAATCTTAGGTAAAACAAATATATCGGTAAATAAGAGACACACACACACACTCGTACTTTGCCTTTCTCAATATGCTGTCTATGGATGCAGAATGAGACTGAAAAAGGAGGATCGTATGCATGAATCATTGAGTGCTGATCTGAACTATGCGGGAAAATGTAGGTTTGTCGGATGCGGTCTGCGTGAAAACCATCGTGAAAGTATTGCAATCGACCTTTGGATTTTGACAGAAATATTTTAGAATATTAGTTAACTCAGAACTGTATTGGGCTGTTCTCTGTAGTGATATAGAATCAAGGAGATATGAAATAGCTTCGTAAATATTTTACTTTCTCCCAGTCTAGCTTAGTTCTTCAACAATCTTATACCTGATTTCTTAAAAATATGAATTATATAACAGATGCTACAATGCCTAAATGTATTTTCCACTCTTCTCTTGGTATATATATCGTCTGTTTTCTGTGATTTTAATTATTAAAATAGAGAGAAGATAATTTTCACCTGATGTGTGATAATTTAAATAGTGTAGGCATTCCTAAAAATTAAAATTCACCAATATTTAAGCGAAAAATATGTTATAAAACACCTTAGTATTACTTGATTTCGCTGAACCAACCTCTTAACACTGTTGTTGACAAACACTTGAATTCATGCAAGAAACTGTCGAATATCATCTTGTCGGACTCTGAGCATCCTATCAACTCACGACTGCCCTCTTGCACCTCATCAGGTAGGGCTTAGGAGCAATTATAGAGGATTTTATGTCAGGACAACCAGGTATGAGGTGTAATGTGGTGAGCAATAGTGAGCTTAGGCGTATAGTGTTAGGTAAGGGCGCAAGTCAGTTGACACAGTTATGAATCTGCGTAAACTGAGATTACTACGATATATGTCACCCACACTGAGCCACCGCCTTCCTCGTAATACAATGTCATGTGATGTAAGATTAGTTTGGGAAAGAGTTAAGGGGGGGCTAAATCAAAACCTAGCATGAATTTATGAAGTCTTCGACTGTTGGTTTCAGCCACGTAGAGAAGTGTAGATTGCCTAGTTGGCGACTTCTGGACTCTAGGAACCAACAGTTTGAGACTGTTGCTTATTGGGTTCAAAACCATTCTCAATTGTGTATGTGCATTTACAGTTTGTAATTTCCTAGATCTATTAAGTCCTCTTCTTCTCCATACTACCATTCTTTCTATGGTATATTTCCTATACTATGATTCTTTAGATCTTTTTCTCTACCTTTGTGGGAGTAGTAAGTTGAACTACTGCATTTCTATTCAAACCTTTACATGGAAACTCAGTCGGTTATCATATGTTATTTCGCAGTTTATCGGAAGTAAAAGAATGGATCATGGTGGATACAATTTTTGACTTTTTGGTTATGATTAAAATCTTTTTGGAAATCTCAAGTCTTCATAAGGGGTTGCAGAAAAACCAGTGACTGAAAATTAAGAAAAAATACATATGAGACTACATTTCGTACCAGTTAGATAAGCTTTAGCAAATATTATGCGGACAAAACAACTGTTGTGGAGTAGATCTTTCGATAGTGTGAATATCTCTCCACTTTAGATGTAAATGCATTACTCTTTTCAAGTAATCTTTACAATACTTTTTTTTAGTTTACCTCCATTTCCTAAGATAGAAAGGATAGATGAATAAACAAATAAATAAATCACTACTAAGACATGGTAAATACTGATCAATAGCTTTCTCTCATGTTGTTTATCATGGTCGGTATGTAAATTTTGTGATAAATTTTTACTAAAAATTGTTAAGCGAAATCGTTTGTAAAGTCCAAAGACGTATCTCCCTTAAAAAACATTGTCTTTAGTTGCCTTTGTGCTGTTATTCACTGAAATATGCACATCCGAAGTCAATTACCAATATATGAATATTATCGTCGACATGAAACAAACAGTGAATTCGAAAAATATTCTTTATAGAAGCACACTGCATACAATTCACTTCATTAATAAACAATATGAATAAAAGAGGCTTGCGCAAATTCAAATATATATATATATATCACTCAGATTTTATTACTAAATTATTTAAATGTCAAATAAAAAACATTCATGTGAAAATGGATCAGTGTTGGTTTGCAGGGATTTGACTGCTGTCAATTTTAGTTACAAACGTATTAGGTAAGAGAACCACTTAAAGTCAGGGAAAACTAGACAGCTGGTGCATCATAATTTGGGACTCTTCAACAGTACACAGTAATAGTTACCCATCACCCAACTGTCAGGAGTCGACCCAAGAACTTCAGGTTGTGAGGTGACGTCGTTAGTTCATGAATTTTAACTTCTGCCACACATAGCGCAGACGTAGCTGAATATTATCGGCGAATATTGCTGAGTGGTCAGCGAGATCACCTTATAACCTGAAGATCTATGTTTGATTCCTAGCAGTCAAGTGATCGGTGCGAATCGATGAAGAGTCTCAAGGTACGACGGCACAACTGTTTAGTTTCCTCTGGTTTTCAATGCTTCTCTAACTGACACTGACATTTTAGAATTTATTTTATCAATGACGTTAAGAGTTGAAATAAAAGCATGGATCATTTGAAAGGATTAGCAGCTGGGTTCGTGCGTCGGTGGCATAGCGGTTAGCACGCTCGCCGACCATGTACATGGTCCGGGGTTCAATCCCCGGCCGATGCACTCCTTTCCCTCGCTAAGCCAGTAATAAAGCTGGTAAAGAGAGAAGGTTAGGCATGAGGCTGGCAACCCCATCCTGTAAAAATAAATTCTGCTACTGAAACTTCAAGCCTTCTAGCTTGAAGCCCTATGTTCCACTTGGAACGTGAAGGAAAAGAAAAAAAGCAGCTGAGTTTCGTGACTCCCTATAATCCATAACCACGAGGTTTATTATTATAATAATTTATTCCTTTACGTTCCCAGTGGAAAATAGGGCTTCAGGTTACAGACTTGAAGTTTCGGTAGCAGTGGTGTTTACTTTTTATGGGATGCGGTTGCTAGACACATACCCAATCTTCCTTCTTCACCAGTCTTATTATTGGCTTAGCGAGGTAAAGTAGTGCGTTGGCCAGGGATTGAACCCCGAACAAACCTGCGTGGTTGGCGAGCTTTTTACCTCTGTGCCATCAACGCAAACAACCATGAAGTATATGGACATAATTTGGATGAAATCTATAATAACATTATGATTCTCATTATCACCTATGGTGAGAATTTGATTTTAAAATTTACTGAACTTTTTCTACGTTCATCGAGATAAAATGCACTTAAATTATATATATAAGAAAAACACTAAATGGGTGTCTTATATATATATATATATATATATATATAATCTAGACTGACATGAAATCACGAATACATAGAAAAACTAAATTTAAATTTACAGATGACACCCAGTCTGGTTTTGAAGAGATAATTCATTTGGTGGGAAGTGCTACTTGACTTTGATTTTATGGTAGTGGACGCTCACCACAGGAGTATATCAGAAGTTGTTTTTTATGAAATCTCTCTCTGGTTTGGATTCAGTGAACAAAGATTCTGAGACTAACCTATCACTCCACTTA